GGTTTAGGGCTGTTGTACATAGGGTCGCTGTGAGTCGCAAACGACTCGATGGCACATAACAACAACATAGCCCGGATCAGGCTCACCTTAGAATACAAGAGCTTTTGAAAAAAATGCTTTCAGAGTCTGATCCCAGGGGAACTCGACCTACTTGCCTTCCAGACTGATCTTTCCTTCTTTCCTTAGCTTCCTCTGCTCAAGCCATTAAGGTCGATAAGTCTAACTGCGTGTCCTCTAACGCAAACTTGATTTCCTCAAGTCTCAGGCAATGCTTTGAGGCTTTTATCTCACTACCTGCTACTCTACTCCGGTCCTTTGTTAGGTGTCGAGTACGACTCATAGCGACCCTTTGAACAACCGATCTGAACACTAGCCTATCCCGTGTCATCCTCACAATCTCTGACACACAGCCCTTTGCTGCAGTGTCCACTCACCTGGTTGAGGCTCTCCCTCTCTTTTGCCGCTCCTCTAACTTTCCAAGCATGATGTCCCTCCCTCTCCAAGGAATAATAACCTCTCCTAGCAACATGCACAATGTATGTGAGAAGCAGCTTTATTATTTTGCCATCAAGAAGCACTCTGGCTGTACCTTCTCCAAGACATAATGTCTGTTCTTTTGGCAGTCCGTGCAATCTTGAGCACTCTTCTCCAGCAGCACACCTCATTCACTGTTCACCTCGCAGATATATTACAAATGGCTGAAAAAGCCATGCCCTGGTGCACCTTAGTCCTCAAATTGACATCTTTACTCCTCAATAATTTGAAGTCTCTGTCCATAGGCTTTCCCAATGCAATATATCTTATCTCCTGACTGCTGGTACTAAGTATAATGATGTGGATCCAATTAAGATAAAGTCATTGACAATCTCAATAGCTTTGTCCATCTGTTTGAGTGCATAGTAATAATTTCCAAAATCCTCTCAGCTTTTGCTAAATCCCTGCCACTGTTTAAGTGCTTTTTATGTGGTGTTGCATTTGAGTCCAACAGAGGATAATGTTATCGTTATATGCTGTCGAGTCATCTGTGATTCACAGCGACTGTATGTACAACAGCCCTAAACCCTATTCTATGCCTTGCCAATCTTATTGTCTCCAACACACCTATCCCTATTATCCCAGTGACTG